CTGCAGGGCAGCTTTTCCTTTTCAAACCCGGGCCCTGAAAACAGGGAGCACACAGGTGTGAGTGGTGTTAGGCCGGAAGGGATCTTGATGGAGCAGAAGCAGGAGGAAAACCCGCAGCTAATCAGATGCGCAGGGCAATGGGAGGAGTTTATAGGAGAGGGTGGGGGCAGAGGGATGGTACAGCCAGTTAGGCACTCGCTTTGCCCATGGACCTGGGTTCCATCCCAGGCCCCTCCTACGCTACCAGAAGTGTTCTCAGAGAACAGAGCCAGGAGTAAGTGTGGACCAAGCACAGCCAGGTCTACAGCTTTGCACCCCCCCCCCCCCCCCCAAATAAATGACCAAAGAAGTGTTGATCAGGAATGGCCAGGCCATGAGAGGGTGAGGACTCCACTGTCAGGCTTTGGTTTTTAGAACGATTTTCTCAGTCAGGACTGTCCGGATATGCCTTAGTTCTTTTGAAAAAAGAAACCCAAACAAAAGCAGTCATTAGGTTCAATGGATGTAATCAGTGCCCCAAAATGTAAATTGTATTAGTCATCTCTGATATTAGAACACTGATTCAAGAATCAATTAGTTAAATAGCTCCGGAAAAGGTGAGCCTGCAAGGGCAAAGGCATTTTATTTATTTATTTACTTAATTAATTAATTTTTCCTTTTTTTGGGGGGGGGGTCACACCCAGCAATGCTCAGGGGTTACTCCTGGCTTTGCACTCAGGAATAACTCCTGGCAGTGCTCAGGGGACCATATGGGATGCTGGGGATTGATCTCGGGTTGGCTGCGTGCAAGGCAAAGGCCCTACCCGCTGTGCTATTGCTCCAGCCCCAAGGGCAAAGACATCTTAATCGCTTCACAACTGGATTCGTTTAAAAAAAAAAAAAAGTAGAGCACTCTGTACTGTTCGGAGATATTTAGTTTAATTTTATTTTATTTTAAATTTTAAGTCTCACACTGAGTTGGAGAAATCCTAGTCAAAAATATAAACGATGAACATGTCGCTAAGTTGGTGTCCTCCAGGGCAAATTTTCCGGGGTGTGCATTTTTGTGATTGATTGATGCCACTTGGTGTTTGTCTTGCTGGCCTGTGAATGAAGTTCTGGGCCAAGGTTCTGGAGAACAGATGAGTTGGCAGAAACGGAAGACTGCATCCTGCAGCACGGAGAGCACACCCAGGTGTGCAGTTTGGACTTGGGGACTTACCCTCAAGAGTGGTCAGGCACGTTGCCCATCTGCTCAATCTCACCTCAGCTTGAGACCTCTGAGTCCCGGGGCTTTGCTTTCTTGTATAGTTTCCACTTTATGGCCGGAATTTACCCTCCACTCCCTGTTACAGTATATGTTACCCTATTACCAGGCTGCTCCCTGTTATCATGTGATACCCTGTAACCATGTTCTCCCTGTTACCATATTACTCCCTGTTACCATGTTGTTCCCTGTTACTTTGTTGCCCCATGTTATCATGTGTTACCCTGCAACCATGTTCTCCCTGTTACTATATTTCTCCCTGTTACCATGTTGCTCCCTGTTTCCATGTTGCCCCATGTTATCATGTTACCCTGTAACCATGTATTACCATATTACTCCCTGTTACTATGTTGCTCCCTGTTACCATGTTGCCCTGTGTTATCATGTGTTACTCTGTAACCATGTTCTCCCTGCTATCATATTACTCCCTGTTACCATGTTGCCCTGTGTTATCATGTGTTACCCTGTAACCATGTTCTTCCTGTTACCATATTACTCCCTGTTACCATGTTACTCTGTTATCAGTGCTGCTCTGTTACCCTATTACTCCCTGTTACTATGTTACTCCCTGTTACCATGTTTCTCCCTATTACCATGTTTCTCCCTGATAATACCTCTATAGATTCCTCCAGCACTGGAATAAAACTCACCCTGCTTGTTTTCTGATATTGCTGCCTGTTGGGACTTGCTTTGGTGGGGTGGGGTGGGGGTGTTGGAGTGGTGGCCGCAGGGTGCGTGGGCAGGAGTTAGGCCATGCTTCCTCCTCTCGGCAAAGACCACACCCCTGCCGCTCTCATCCCATTTGCTCATGTGGATTCTGGTGGCAGCTGTAAGAAAACGTGGCCAGTGGCCAGGTGGGGGGAGAGACCTGCCCCCGAGGGTCAGCGTGGGTGTTGAGGCCTGTTGGTTCCCCTCCCCCAGCAGCCGGGCCAGGGAAGGAACCTCTGGGTGCCCAGGCAGAGACTGCAGCCCCTCCGGGGACACCTTTCTGCCCCCACCGTCCAAGCTGCGCTCAGAGTCACCAGAATTTATTTTCCAGTGCCTGGTTTGAATAAGCCTCGGAGTCATTTGCAGCCAGGGCAGGCTGCAGTAACAGAATCCTTTCTCTTTTGCATCCTCAGGTGGCCCTGGACATCTCTGAGCAGGCTCACCACCCTCACCCCCGCCCGTGTGTCTTTCCTAACTGGCCTAGTGACAACGGGCAAAGAATTCTGTCCTCAGCGACTCAGCCTGCCTCTCTCCCTGCAGAAGTGGTTAGGCAGGAAGGTCAGGGCACCCCTTATTTTTGGAGGGTGCAGTTTCTTCTCCCTTCCATCATGGGCAGCAAGAGACACTGAAGTTTCTGGGAGGGAAAACGTGTTGGATTCGGAGCAAATCCAGCCCTGGGTTTGACCTGCCTGGGTGTGAGACATCCTGCCTGGACTGGGTCTTCCAGATTGGAATGTGTGACCACTGGGTCCCCTTAGCGCTCTCTCTCTCTCTCTCTCTCTCTCTCTCTCTCTCTCTCTCTGTGTGTGTGTGTGTGTGTGTGAGAGAGAGAGAGAGAGAGAGAGAGAGAGAGAGAGAGAGAGAGAGAGAGATCAGCCCGCCCCCAGCGTGCAGCCTGGAGGGACTCTCTCTGAAATACGTGCTTGAGAAGTCATGGCTCGCAGGCTCAAGATGGAGCAACACAACACAGCATATAGCCCCTGCGTTCCCATCTCACAACTTACGTGTCCTAGAGCCTGGCATAACAAGTCTCAGTCCTTGTACAGCTTCCTTAGTCATGATTTTGAAAGCATCGGATGCAGGAAAGGCCCCGCCCCCTAACTTCCTCATTCTGAGGTTTCTGAAGGGGAGAGGTGTCTCGCTGGGTTAGCAGCCCGTGGCGACAATGCTGACAGGGTCACTCTCCAGGGGCACAGTAGGGAGTGTCCTTCCTCTGCAGCGGCCCCATTGTCGCCTGGAAGTGGCCCAGAACAGGGAAGGGCAGAGACACAGGTGCTGTTCTCACTGTCACCCATCAGGAAAGACACAGTGGCCTGTCTCCCTGTCTTCCTGCATCCAGCACCCTTCTCCCCTATTTCACTTTATCCCTATCAGCAGAGCGTTCTCTGGCTCACCCGGGGCTCCCGCTGCCGCCCTGTACTTCATCTTGAAATCCAAGTCAGCGTCTTCAAGGATCAGTCTTCCCATGCTCCCTCTCTGTGTTCGTTACCATCTCTGGGAACTCTGTGATGAGCACGGTCCCCATCACACACTGATGATGTATGACGTGCTCTCTCTGTTCTGCCATCAGCCCCTTTCTTCACTCTTTATTTTCCTTGACCCGTCTGTAGCACTGGATCATTGTTCTCCCTGGAACCCCCTTTTCTGGCCCCCCATTAACCTCTTGGACTGCGGTACCTTACTCATCGCCATCCCTCCTGTCCAGAGACTGTGGGTTAGTGGAGAGCCTTTGTAGGGTGACCATATAATTTTTCTTTTCCAAGATCAAGATGTCCTTGAGAATTAAAAAGGGGGATCAAGACAACATGCACACGCAGAGACCATCATCTTGGGCAAACAGATATCTGGTCACCTTCTTAAATTAGTCCCGGAGGAAGCAGAGAGGGCCTCCTGGCAGGAAGTGAATGAGCACAGATCAAAGAATTTTTGTAGACCCATCTTACAGTTATTTCTCTTAGAACCTCGTGCCAAAATTTCAATCTCAAGGGGCTGGAGTGATAGCACAGCGGGGAGGGCATTTGGCTTGCATGCGGCTGATGCGGGTTCAATTCCCAGCATCCCATATGGTCCCCGGAGCACCACCAGGAGTAGTTCTTTAGTGCAGAGCCAGGAATAACCCCGGAGCATCGCCGGGTGTGACCAAAGTAAAGTAAAGTAAAAGTAAATGCCCTCCCGTTGATCATCGATTTGCTCGAGCGGGCCCAGTAACGTCTCCATTGGAGACTTTGTTGTTACTGTGTCTGGCATATCGAACACGTCACAGGGAGCTTGCCAGGCTCTGCTGTGTGGGCGAGATACTCTCGGTAGCTTGCTGGGCTCTCCGAGAGGGGCGGAAGAATCGAACTCGGGTCGGCTATGTTGGCTGCGTACAAGGCAAACGCCCTACCGCTGTGCTATCGCTCCAGCCACACACACACAGACACACACACACACACACACACACACACACATCCCCGTATGGGTGTGACCAAAAAAGAAAAAAAAAAGTTCAATCTCAAGAAACATGCTAGGGGAAAAGGGAGCTCAGATAGAGAAGGGAACACCAAATAAAGGTGTTGGGAGGATCCTCCCAGGATGGGAGAAGCATGCTGAAAGTGGACTATAGACCAAACATGATTGTCACCCATTGCCTCTTTTGCAAACCACAACACCCAATAGGAGAGAGAGAACAAAAGGGAATGCCCTGCCACAGTGGCAAGGTGGGATGGGGGGGGGCTGAGGTCTGGGAGGGATACTGGGATCTGTGGTGGTGGGAAATGGGCACTGGTGGAGGGATGGGTATTTGATCATTGTATAATTGAAACCCAAGCACAAAAAATTGTAAGTCTACAACTGTACCTAATGATGTCTCACAAAAAAAAAAAAGAACTAAAGAATTAAATTCAATATCTCACTTTCCCACTCGTGACAAGATCCCGTCGCCTTGAGGAGCAGGGTCAGAGGGGAAGGAGGACACATAGGACGGGGGAGAAGAGCGGTCTTGTGGAGGAGGGGGCAGCACTATCTTGACCAGAGGCTTCCCTGCCGGGCAAACGTGGACTCGGTGTTAGAACCTCTTCCAGGCTCTTCTCAGTCCAGGGTTGCTCAAGATCAGTAGCACAGAGTGGCCAGCAGGGTAGGCTGCCATGATGATTTTGCACAGACTATTCCAGGTGCTGTCGGGGTCCAGGAAGTTGGACATGGAAAGAAACAGTGCAATGGCGTTGAGAATGTAGAGAACTAGGAAGTAGCTGATGGCTTTGATGGCCCCCAGGTGAGCCTCCATGCTGGGGTCCGTGGAGCCCGAGGCTTTGCTCTTCATGTAGCGGGTGTGTCGCCGGAGAGAGAGGATCAGCAGGGTGGCCGCCAGCACGAACAGGATGAGAGGAATGCAGATGCCCAGGTAAAGGAGCAGAACCAGGCCAGACAGGTTGGTCTCGTAGAAGAACTTCTTCTCTGTGGAGTTGAGGGCGGGGACGGGAATGGAGGCATTGGTGTAGACTTGGAAGATGTCGCGAGAGAAGGAGAGGCTGAAGCACAGGCAGGCCAGCAGGGACAGCCTCAGCAACCAGGGCATGAGCGCCACCACCCTCCTCCTCAGCAGGGAGAACAGACGGTGTGTGAAGTTGGCGATGCGCAGGCAGTAGAAGACGTTGAGCCAGGCGGCCAGCCAGAGGTTGAAGTAGTTCAGAAACAACAGGATGACCTTGAACAGTGTGTACACTGTGTTTTGGTTGTAAGCGCGCCAGAACAGGAGACTGTAAGTGTTCTCCACCATCATCCAGATCTGCAGCAGGATCCTGGAGATGCTTAGGAAGAACAGAAGGCGGTCGCACACAGGGACCCTTCTGCCCCTGGCCCACGCCGTCCCGTGGATGGCGGCGATGAAGCCGTTCCCAATGATGCCAATGGCACACTCGACCCCAGAGACCAGCAGGAGGAAGACGGTTCGTGGAGTAGGCTGTTCTCGATCGGGAGCGTTTGAGCTGACAACGGACATTCTGCTTCCAGCTTTCAGGAGTCCCAACGAAGAATTGATGCCCGCTCCGAAATCCTCTACTTCTTCATCAGCGTCATCAGCATTTCCCCTCTCCCCCCATCCCAGTTCATGGGCTTTCCTAATTTTTCTTCATTTGCTTGTCACCTGACGACAAGTTTCAGGCTGGCGATGCAAATGAGGGGTGGGCCAGGTTGCCATCTGTGTCCATTTGTCATAAAGACCCATTTGTCTTGGGCTTTCGGGAGTTTGAGAGGCTCCTATCTCCACACCCTTTCTGCTTCGCTTTCTTGGCATCCGTTGGGAGTTGACAGGGCGTGAGACCCAGTTGGGGCGCTCAGTGTCTCCTGGTCTTTTTCCTTCTCTCATTCAGCCACCCGTGAAAATGTGTTCAGCTTCTTTCAGGCCTGCCTTCGTCACTTGCCTTTAAGTCTTGCTTACTCAGGGAGAGGATTTCATTCCTCTTGTTGGCATGAATAAGAAATCCCGCTCAGCCTTTATATGCACGTCTTGGACTTAGAGTAATATTTCCTCCACAAAGGCCATTATGACATTCTCAAACAGGCCACAGAAACGCTAGAACTGGGTGCCTTTTGGGTTAATGATTGGGAAGAGTTAGTTGCCTCGATTTTCTTTTCTTTTTTTGCTTTTTGGGTCACACCCGGTGTTGCTCAGGGGTTACTCCTGGCTCATGCACTCAGGAATTACTCCTGGCGGTGCTCGGGGGACCATATGGGATGCTGGGAATCGAACCCGGGTCAGCATGCAGAACAAACGCCCTACCCGCTGTGCTATCGCTCCAGCCCCATGCCTCAATTTTCTTTGCTTTGTGTGTTGGTACTCACCACAGTTTACTCTTTGTCAGTTTCCAGGCTGAGCTGGGAATCAGAGCATTCGCCTGGGACTACTTGAGAGTGTTCATATTACGGAGCTGAAATTGGGAAATGTGACAAAATGCCATGACTTGAAATTTAATTTCCTACGTTTCCACTCTGGCTGTGAAATGGAAAGAATGTTGGAACTTAAAACAACTACAGAGTAGAGAGAGTATGGGGAAATTGTCTGCCATGGAGACAGGGGGAGGGTTGGAAAGGGGGGGTATATTGGTGGTGGAGAATGTGCACCAGTGGAGGGAGGGGTGTTCGACCATTGTTTGATTGAAACTCAAACATGAGAGCTTATAACTATATCTCATGGTGATTTAATAATAAAAAATTAAAAATTAAAAAAATAAATGTTTGGGGCTAAGCAATAGCACAGCGGGTAGGGCTTTTGCCTTGCATGCGGCCGACCCAGGTTCGATCCCCAGCATCCCATAAGGTCCCCTGAGCACTGCCAGGAGTGATTCCTGAATGCATGAGCCAGGAGTAACCCCTGAGCATTGCCGGATGTGATCCAAAAAGCAAAAAAAAAAAAAAAAAGAAGAAGAAGGCTAAAACTTCCTTGTCAGTTATTCAATAAATAAAATATTCAGCTAAAATAGCAAAAAAATAAAACCCCAACTATATAGTGTATATGCCATATTTTCTAAATAACATTTTTCTATATCACCTATATATGTACTTATGTATGATCAATATGAAGAACTTGCTACTGCTCTAATCCAAAGAGGTTATTTAAAAATCTCGCTGTTATTTTAAAACTGAAAGGTCCTACTACTCATAACCAGGATCGGGAACCAAAGTTTTAGCTGGAACTTGGCCCAGCAAGTCTAGGACCAAATATGTTTTCAGTGTGTTTATTTTGTACTCTTCTTATCTTGGACAGCCTTAGTCTATCAGTGAACTTTTTAAAAATTGCAGAGCATGTAAGTTAAAAAGGGTTTGGGAACTGGCGAGATAATGAAGTGGGCAAGGCACTTGTCTTGCACACAGCTGACCCAGGTGTGTTCCCTGGCATCCCATTAGTCCCCTGAGCACAGCCAGGAGTGATCCCTGAGCACAGAGTCAGGAGTAAGCTCTGAGCATCACTAGGTGTGGCCCCCAAACAAAGAAACATACAGAAAGGCCTTTTACATGTACAGAACACCTACCTTTTGTTGAGAAATAAGATTTGCGTCTTATTGGATCTTCATGACGAATTGATTGAGATGTGATAGTAATTCCTTATTTAAAACAAGCCTGGTAGGCTCTTTTCATTATTAAAGGAACTAACAATTTCGAATGTCTTCTTGACCCTAAAGTCTCAGGCAAATTGTTGTTTTCCAGAGTTATAGTTATATTTATCTTGCCTAGTTATATTTAGAGTACCAGTGGATGGATGCTAAAAACAGGGTTTTCCACCCCCAAGTTAATTTTATTTTAAATAAGGAAGCCAGAATATATATATTTATATATATTTATTTATATAAACAAACTGTCTTACATGGAATCCTATTTATATGAAATAACAGCAAAGCAGAGGTATTGCAGAAGTAAGGAAGTGTTGTTTAGAGAAATTAAAATGTATGTCAATACAAAGTCATGCAGAAGAATGTTTGAATCATCTTTCACCATGATTGCCAGGAGAGGGAAATTGCAAGATTTGTTGGCAAATTCTTTCTCTTCAATAAGAAAACCTTTAACTCTCTTACTTCTGTAGCACTGTAGCACTGTCCTCCTGTTGTTCATTGATTTGCTCTAGCGGGCTCAGTAACGTCTCCATTGTGAGACTTGTTACTGTGTTTGGAATACTGAATACACCATGGGCAGCTTGCTAGGCTCTGACATGCGGGTGAGATACTCTCAGTAGCTTGCTGGGCTCTCTGAGAGAGGTGGAGGAATCAAACCCGGCTCTGCTGGGCCGGCTGTGTGCAAGGCAAACGCCCTACCGCTGTGAGAGTGGAGAATTGGGTTTGTCGGAGGCTTTCATGTATTCCAAAGTGTGTCATCTTGTTCATTTCTTTCCAAAGATGTCTTTCCAATTTATTTACTTATTTTACCCTATTATCACTGTTCTGTTGGATTCTGCTGCTTTTTCCTCTGATTTTGAGGTGAGAGGCAGTGGAGGTGGGTCTTCCTGCTAACAGAGTCTGGCAGAAGGCCAAGGGGAAGCCCCTGGGTGGGGATGTCTACGACGAGAGTTTAGGTAGGTTGATGTTCTGGCTGCCAATGCTGGGCCTTGGCAGAACCACCTCTGTGGACACGCAAGACCAACTCACTTTCTATAATGCATTCCTTTCCACTTTGGGGAGCTTAGATGGAAGCACTTATACTTTGGGACAGTTTCCAAGGGGCAGCCGAGCACCAAAGGCTTCACATCCTTGGCCATGACGTTTAGGGTCTCAGGTTGAGCGGCAGGACAGAAGAGACTTGGGGGAACATGAGGCTGGGGGGAGCCAGTTTCCTTTCCCTTCTCTGTTAATGCTCTTCCGGGCTGAGATGCAGTGAATGAAGCCACAGGAAGTGTGGCAGTGGTGGGTCCCGCCCATGACACTGGACCCTACCCCTGCCCCACCTTTTATGGCTTCCTGATGTGGACAGGGCTGCAGGGGTGAGGCCCAGAGGTAGAGACTCTCCCCAGCCTCTCATGCCCATGAGGGCTGGCTAGACTCTTACTGCCTGGCTTCCTTGTACCCGCAAAGGAGGGCCTTGCATTTCGCTGAGGGATCTGGTGCATTCCACTAGTCTAGCCATCATCATGAGGGGCTTCGGAAGCTTGGATTCTGCCATGCCAGGGCAGATAAAGGGCTGTGGAAGAGACATACCCCCTCACCCCTAGTCTCTCTTTGACCCCCAAGCACCACGGATCCTGGAAGGGCAGGTAGGAGCAAATCTTGCAATGAGAGTGGAGCAATTGCTGGGGTGTAATTGGCTGGTGGAGCAGGGCCAGCAATGCGGGGGCTGGCGGGGGGCATGGGGGGGCGGGGGGTTCACGTGCACGAGTTTCCTTCATGGAGTCTCAAGGGCTCATCCCTCTGCTGCTGGGACTCCCTTTCCCATCCCACCCTGGCCGCGGGGGGCAGGTTGGATCTGCCCTGATCTTTTCGGTCAGTAATTAAAAATCCAGTTCCACTTCATGTTTGGCTGAGGCCTGCCCTTTGCCCTCTCTTTCCCACGGTTGGGGCCAAGAGCCCATCTGCTTGGTTGGGTGGTGGGGGGAGGTGGGCTCCGGGTCCCCTGTTGTTTCCTCTATGCCCAGCGTGTGGGACTGAGGGGTCTCCCGAGAGCTGCCGGGTCTCGGGTGGTAAAGGCTGTCACATGCTGGCACCTCTCCTGTCTGCTTGCCAAGGAGCACATGACAGGGCTCTATGACAATCCTCCAGCTGCAGACCCTCCCGACTCTTCCCTCCTCAGCTTTTTTTTTTTTTTGCTTTTTGGGTCACCCCCGGCGATGCACAGGGGTTACTCCTGGCTCTGCACTCAGAAATTACCCCTGGTGGTGCTCAGGGGACCATATGGGATGCTGGGAATCGAACCTGGGTCAGCCGCGTGCAAGGCAAATGCCCTACCCGCTGTGCTATTGCTCTAGCCCCTCCCCCTTTCAGCCTTTGCTGTGCATGGACACAGGGCAGGGGGCCTGGTGGGACCCTCCAGGGCTGACCCAGAGAGCAGCTGGCCACCTCTTGGTCTGCTTCGCAGGTAGGCTAGCCAGCCCGGTCCTTCCTCATCTGCTCTGGGATGGTCCTTCCTGACCCTGGCAATATAACACCAGCTCCAGGATTACCCAAAGAGTTTAAAACAAAACTGAACAGAACAGCACCCACACTCTAGTCCGACTTTCAGAGGCTCCAGTTTCGGGGGTGTGGAGGAAAGAAAGGCTGGCATTTTCAAAGCTGCCCCCAGTCTCTCATCTGTGGAACCGGGAGGCGGGAACTGTTTTCTTTTGGCGGGTATATGCCTACGCAGTATAGAGTGTGAGCACTGGGCAAGTCAGGGGACCAGCATTCCCCACTCGGACTGGAGGATGAAGCGTTCTTGTGTCAGGTAGAAGGAGACCCGCGTTCAGAGGCTGAACCTTCTACATCTTTGACAGAAGCTGTGATGATGGTCACTTTTCAAAGCAGGATTTCTGTTTGCTGGTGA